GTTTGGTGTGAAGTTTGCGATTTGACCCAAAATGGTGACGTTCCCGATCGCGCAATGTCGGCCCGAAATGGTGACGTTCCCGATCGCGCGTTGTTGGCCCAAAATGGTGACGTTCCCGTTGCGCGATGTTGGCCCGAAATGGTGACGTTCCCGTGCTTGCCATTTGGGAGCTGAGTAATGAAAACACATGCGCGCACTGTCGCTCTAGAGTGGTGAATCTCCCGTACGGGAGTCCGTGGCTCCACGTGGAGAGTTTCCCGCGCGGGAACTGTGCCTCATACATGGCACAGTTCCCGCGCGGGAAACTCTCCACCTCCCGTACCTCGGCTTACCTGGTTGTTCCCCATATAATGCACAGATTATGTTTAACATTATTCAGAACGACCCGGTTTCGCATCATGCAAAACTTCGACGACCGATTACGCATTGCGGCATGCAGACCCCATTTTTGAAAGAGTTCTAAAAATAAAGCAAACTCACAGTCAAATTCCGATGTTCTCTTGTCTAGTAGATATCTGACAGGAACACAAACAGGTCCTCCTGGGATGTGGACAGGTACAGGATAGCCGACAGGTCCCACAGCACACACAGGAGCATAGAAAAATAGACAATAGAAAACATCAGAATGTCAGCCCTTCTTTTGTTGAAGTCATACAATACTTCCCAAAAAACAGATTGGGACAGTTCATCCTCACTTCGGGACAATCGAAATTTATTTTTGGGAGAGTGCTGGGACAATAGGAAGAAAAGTTAATGTGGAGGCCTGTATCAAGCTTGCCCCACCGAATCTGCTTGGAGATGGGTACTAAGTACATACAATATCAGCTTCACAAATCTTGGATGTAAAAGACATACAAATTCAGAAAAATCACAGGCACAACCTGCAGTGAATAAAAGAATATCATGACCAAACAAATTGAACAATCACATAAAATTGCATCTCACATAAGACATCACATGAAAACATTCCATATGACAAGTTCTCACACAAGTTGAGAGACCATTGCCAGCTACAGAAATACTGCTAGTATCATACTCATAGCCAACAAAATAATATACAGCATCTAAAGTGGGCATGTAATACAATCTACTACAGTCACTCCAGTTCAACACTGTCACCAACAACACATGGAATTCATTTCAAACACAGCTTAAGCAAGTATCAAGCCCAGAGAGAACATATATATAGGAAAACAAAGCAGTTCGACAAGATTCTGAATAATTTCCTGTAAGGCCACACCAAATTAGTTTGTTGTTTCTCAGATTTTTTCAGTAAAAATATGAAGCGACAGGGAAAAAAAACAGGCCAAGGCACCCCCATGATAGCTGGAAATGTTACAATATGAGCCATGAAGTGAACATACCAGGCTGGTTTACAATTAAAACAATACATTTTGAACTTTCAATGAAACAAAATTGCATTGTTACATTGAATAACTTAATTTAGAACAATTTTTTTTTTGCAAATCAGAAAAAAATGGACAGGGCGATCCGAGAAGCAACGAATTGGTGTGGCCTTAAAGGCAAATTATGTAAATCAAGGAGGCTAAGTACATGCATTGCAACAAAAAACTTTTGAACACTGAAATAAAAACAATTAAACCCATCATATAATCACAAATAACTAATAAAAACATCAAGTATCCATACAGTGATTTAAACAAGTGACAAGTATGTGCTGAAATGGTAAAACACTTATTATCATACTCTCCAAGCAGAATTTGGGTTTGGGGTTATTTTTTGCGTGTTTTTAGACTTTTTTATTGGGGTTTCCTTTTTGCACTGGAATTTTTCTTTCACAAAATAAAAACAATTCTAGTGCAATTAAAAAAAATAAAATTCCAGTGCAAAAAAGAAACCCCAATAAAAAAGTCTAAAAACACGCAAAAAATAACCCCCAACCTCTGCTTGGAGAGTAATTACCATGCGCCCTCGTGCATGCTACACCACATGCTCAAAAACTCGGTCATATTTCTGTGGTGTTTCGCCGTCTTTCCGGGCAAGACTGTTCCAAAGTGGTCACAAGGATAAAGAGAACAAAGTTACGTTCTACTTACCAGCTAAAACAGAAGTTTCTCGTCTTCCGGGGACGAGAAAAAGAAGAAGTTTAACCAGAAGTTTCTCCCGCTCCATGTTCAGTCGCCATCTTGAAACTTGTGAGTTTGCATGGCCTCATGGGTAGTCCCACCTGTTAGTCCTCAGCCAATAATTTGAATAATAAGGCCACAGCAAATAATTTTATGGATGACATCAACGCGCGCATGAATTTTTGCCTGATTTTGGAAAAAAAAGAAATTTTGTTGCCCTCTGATAGTCGTCTACATGTCTGTTGCCATGCCAGAACGTGGACGGCTGATAAATATGAAGAGAGGAGACAAGACAAGGATCTGATTTTCCTAATGTTTTGTCTTTTACTTTGATGCAGTGATGTATTTCATTCCCTTATATAGTAGTATGCGATAGTGCTTGTGGTAATATATGTGTTTTTTCCCACTGAATCAAAACCAATGTTGTACAAAGATTGAAAAAAATTATTTTTAAAGTGTTTCAGTGAGAAATGTTGTTATAATAATTGGCAGTAAACTTATCACAATAAAAGTATCATTTCTTGTTTAACAAGGTTTATGATGCCGAAATTTTAAAGTAGAAGTTTTTTTGGGGGGCCCGCCTTGTTTTTTTCACCCTATCGCATTAAGTTTGCAGAGGTTGTCATCCATAAAATTTTCTTGCTGTGGCCTAATGAAATTCAATGGTCAGAATCAGTGCTAAAAAGGATGTTATCCAGAAAATAAATTTGAATATACCATTTCGAATTCGTCTAGCCTCTACCAGGCTTCAGGAAGTGGCTGGAAAGAGTAAAAATCGGCCAAATAGAGAGATAACATGCCAGGGGAGTTGGTCCACTAGAGAGTAAATTTTGAGTACATCTAGCACGACCCCCCCCCCGCCCCC